TCTTTCTTTCTTAGTTTTGTTGTTTTGAATACCCTTTTTCCTTTCTTCTCCCTTTCTTGTTTTTTTTTTTATTTCATTAATTTTCTTTCTTTCTTTCTTTCTTTCTTTCTTTCTTTCTTTCTTTTTTTTTTCCCTCCCTTCGTCTTCTTTATTTGTTTTTTCCTTTTTGCAACCTTTCGTCTTCCCTTCTTAGCATTTTATATGCTTCCCTTTCTTTCTTTTTCTTTCTTTTTCTTTCTTTTTCTTTCTTTCTTTCTTTCTTTTTTTTTCTCTCCCTTCGTCTTCTTTATTTGTTTTTTTTCCTTTTGCAACCTTTCGTCTTCCTTCTTAGCATTTTATATGCTTCCCTTTCTTTCTTTCTTTCTTTCTTTCTTTTCTTTCTTTCTTTTTTCTTTCTTTCCCTCCTTCGTCTTCTTTATTTGTTTTTTTTCCTTTTGCAACCTTTCGTCTTCCCTTCTTTTTTTTATATGCTTCCCTTTCTTTCTTTCTTTCTTTCTTTCTTTCTTTCTTTCTTTCTTTTCTTTCTTTCTTTTCCCTCCCTTCGTCTTCTTTATTTGTTTTTTCCTTTTGCAACCTTTCGTCTTCCCTTCTTAGCATTTTATATGCTTCCCTTTCTTTCTTTCTTTCTTTCTTTCTTTCTTTCTTTCTTTCTTTCTTTCTTTTCCCTCCCTTCGTCTTCTTTATTTGTTTTTTTTCCTTTTGCAACCTTTCGTCTTCCCTTCTTAGCATTTTATATGCTTCCCTTTCTTTCTTTCTTTCTTTCTTTCTTTCTTTCTTTCTTTCTTTCTTTCTTTCTTTCTTTTCCCTCCCTTCGTCTTCTTTATTTGTTTTTTCCTTTTGCAACCTTTCGTCTTCCCTTCTTAGCATTTTATATGCTTCCCTTTCTTTCTTTCTTTCTTTCTTTCTTTCTTTCTTTCTTTCTTATGCCCCCTTTCGCCTTCTTTCTTTCTTTTGCTACCTCGCGTCTTTCTTTTTTCTTTCTTAGCATTTTCTCATGCTTCCCTTCGTTTTCTTTCTTCCTTCCTTCCTTTCTTTCTTTATTTCTTTCTTTCTTTCTTTCTTGCTTTCTTTCTTTCTTCCGAAAATAATAAGTTTACTATTTCCTTAATTACTTTCCATTAATTCTTAATCATCATATCAAGAAATCGTTTTTATTTTTCCCATCCTTATTCTTACAAGCATGAACATCCCTGTCAGACGACACTTCAAACGCAAAGACAATTATGACCCGAAAAAACATTAAAAAAAGCCTTGCCGACCGGAAATCCGGTCTCTTTTTATACTTTAATTTTTGCCATCAGATATATGATATTTCTGTTAAAATTACCGGTGTGGAGAATTAGTATTTTTTTTTTATTTGTATGAAATTAAATAAGAATAAGATAACGAAAAAATAATTTACGACATGAAGCCAAGATTTACATTTAACATTTACATTTAGATTTTGTTTCATTTAATATAATGTGGTTGGTTATAAAATACATATATTATCTATCTATCTATCTATCTATCTATCTATCTATCTATCTATCTATCTATCGCAGTTTTTTCATTATCTATGTATCTATATATCAATCGCAAAGTTTTCATTATCTCTCTCTCTATCTCCCTCCCCCCTTTCTCTCTCTATCTATCGCATTCTTTTCAATATTTGTCTGTCTATGGCAGTTTTTTCATTATCTATCTATCTATCTATCTATCTATCTATCTATCTATCTATCTATCTATCTATCGCAGTCTTTATTTTCTATGTATCTATCTATATATCAATCACATTGTTTTCATTCGCTCGGCCCGGTGGCTAGGATCAAAGTGTAGTATCTGTGCTTTGTGAGCTGCCGGGTCGGCGGTTCGTCGAACTCTGCTTGCAGAGAGGAACCCGACCAGCTCCGCCGAAGGGTGGGGTTTCGTTCGGGAGGTTGACGAAATTTTTCCCGCCGGACGGGTTTAGATGGGTTTTATTTTTTTGCTGGGCCTACGGGCTCAGACATACCCACATTAAAAGGCCTTTTGCCACATTCAATTCCTGTGGGTGAATTGATAAATACCATTATCTATCTATCTATAGCAGTTTTTCATATTCATTATCTATCTATCTCTCTCTCTCTCTCTCTATCTATATATATATATATATCTATATATATATATATATATATATATCCTGTTTTCTATATCATCTATCATCTGGTTTATTATCTATATAACTTATGTCTGTTTTTTTTTCATTCATTTACCTATATTTATCCATTTGATGATATATATATATATATATATATATATATATATATATATATATATATATATATCAGTCTTTTCATTATCTATCTATCGCAGTATTTTCATTATCTATCTATCTATTGCAGTCTTTTCCTTATCTATCTATCTATATATCAATCGCAATGTTTTCATTATCTATCTATCTATCTATCTATCTATCTATCTATCTATCTATCTATCTATCGCAGTCTTTTCATTATCTCCCTTTCTATCTACTTACGTGGTACATTCCAGGATTTCTGAATCCTTTTCAGGAGAGACAGTTATTAATTCCAAAGAAGTACAATGCTCCAGTCTCCATGAACTCCCCATCGGACGGGCACTGGCCATCTAAGCATACCCTATCACATCCCAAACGAGTCTTCCAATGGAAGAGAACGACCCTGCTTACCCTCCCGAGGCCAATGTACTGACGATGAAAGGGGCTATGCCGGTGACATAGGTATTCATCGTTGGAATAAAAACGCCCTTGAACAGAAAATCAACATCCTCTATCAAGTGCACCTCTATCAAGATGTGGGACTGAAGATAAACCTTTTCCAAAGCAGAAACTATGATCTGGAATATGGGACCTACACTGAATCCATCATAGATAGTTAATGATGTGGAATTCGTAAATACTAAACACTTCAGGTACCTTGGCGTTATACCTCAGTTAGAACAAATTAAGTGTCGGGGCGAAGGAAAACCTTTGCCGAAGAAAACATGCAAGTTGGTGCCAAGACAAACATTGATAGCTCTCAAGTAATTGCGTCTACTCAGTTTCATTCACAAGGCCGTGGGGTGGTTTTCGGGTATTTTCCATGCTGGAATCTCCTCTACAGGCCGATATCATTTGGCAAATTGACCATGGTGAGTTTTCCAACCCGGGACCCATGATTGGAATGCGAACGTACGAAGCACTAGGCCACGTGACTATAGAGATGATATAATAAAATTGCAATAATCTAAGAGAAAAATCCTAAAAAATGTCTCATATCTTCTGGAATGTGCATCTTATCTATCTATCTATCTATCTATCTATCTATCTATCTATCTACCACGGCTTTTCATTATCTCTCTCTCTCTCTATATATATATATATATATAATAACATACGTTGGTTGCACAACTCGCAGTTTCATACATTTATCTATATTTATCCATTTGATTATATATATATATATATATATATATATATATATATATATATATATATATATATATATTATTTAATATCTATCTATCTATCTAACGGCCTTTTCATTATCTATCTATAACAGTTTTTTTTCATTTCTCTCTTCTCTCTTTCTATATATATATATATATATATATATATATATATATATAACACCGTACGTTGGTTGCACAACTCGCTGTTTCATGCATTTACATGTATTTATCGATTTGATTATATATATATATATATATATATATATATATATATATATATATATATATATAGTCATCCACAGACAGACTGTTTCGCTGTATCACTCCACATCAAATTACTAGACATCCATGTTGCCTCCAGCTAGGATCGAAACCCGACTGAAGTGATTCTACCACTAAGCCGTTGGCGCACGGCAGATATATATATATATATATATATATATATATATATATATATATATATATATTATATATTAGTATCATATATATATATGTATATCATATATATATATATCATATATATATATGATCATATATATATATTATATGGGATATATATATATATATATGATTATATATATATCTTTTCATTATTTATCTATCTACTAACCACTCGGTCCATAGAAATGGTATGCTAAAATTGGCATAATCTAGGAGAGTCATAACTGCCTCTCCTAAAAAAGTCTCAAAACTTCTGGAATGTGCGTCATATCTATCACATGTTTATTTCTTTGAAAATCAGTGGGTAGAATTTTTATCTTTTTATTTTTAATCTTACTAATTACAGATCTGAAATATCATTCCTCTTGTAATGATGCGGTTATCAAATCTCGCCAAAACGCAGACCCCACTTCAGCTTTATTCGCAACAGATATCTGCAAACTTATTCGCCGTTTCCATCTGGAAATCTAAGTAAAGAAATTTGGTATTTGGTTTCTGGAAGTGAAAAAGGAACGGGTTTGTTCTTTTTTTTTTTTTTGGTCGAGTCGTGAAAATACTTTTTTTTTTTTTTCTGATTTCTTTGTTTTTCGTAATGTCGACCGGAAGTAGAAATATTTTCATTTTTTGATTAAAATTTCAGGGAAAAATTTGATGATTTTTAAATTACTGACTTCACGCAATAATAATAATAATAATAATAATAATAATTGTTGTGAATTCCGGGTTGAAATCCGGTGCCAATAAATAACAAACTCCAGGAATGAATATAGGAAAATAATGTATTGACGTAATAATACAAACTGGTAAAAGCAGGTTAGTAGTTCCAGGAATACGGGTTAAAAAGAAAATATATATATATATATATATATATATATATATATATATATATATTATTCACTTTGGTATTGAAGTATCGCTGTATGACTTCTTACTGAGTCTACGTGCTCGCTCACTGTTGACTCCTACAACGCTGTTACCTCACCCCTCACTCTTCCGGTTACCTACAACCTTTTTACTCTGTCACTAAGGACTCGACTCGACGGTCTTGCTCGGTATTTATCGATCCACCCACGAGGGATTGAATGTGGCTCAAGGCCGGTTTAATGTAAACGATCTCCGAGCCCGTAGGCTCTCCAAAAATATAGCCTTTGAACCAGCCTAGACGGGTTCAGGCCCTGTCTACCTCCCCGGACGAAACCTTGCCCTTCGGCAAGGAATTCCGTCTGGGATCCTCTCTAGAACGCAGAGAGTTCGACGAACGTCGCTTACAGTCAAAAACTGTATCACGACTCAACTAGACTCGGAGGTCTTACCCTCTCTATCTATCAACCCACCCACGAGGATTGAATATGGGACAAGGCCGGTTTAATGTGGGTATCCCCGATGCCCGTAGGCTCGGCCAAAAGATCTAGCCTTTGAACCAGTTAGACGGGTTCAGGCCCTGTCTGATTTACCGAACGAAACCTTGCCCTTCGGCAAATAGCTTCATCCGGTTTCTCTCTGCTAACACAGAGAATTCGACGAACGTCGTTACAGTCAAAGACTGTATCACGACTCAACTAACTCGGAGGTCTTACCTCTCTATCTATCAACCCACCCACGAGGATTGAATATGGGACAAGGCCGGTTTAATGTTCCAGGAATCCCCGAGCCCGTAGGCTCGGCCAAAAATATAGCCTTTGAACCAGCCTGACGGGTTCAGGCCCTGTCTACCTCACCGGACGAAACCTTGCCCTTCGGCAAAGCTTCATCCGGGTTCCTCTCTGCTAACACAGAGAGTTCGACGAACGTCGCTTACAGTCAAAGACTGTGTCACGACTCAGCTAGACTCGGAGGTCTTACCCTCTCTATCTATCAACCCACCCACGAGGATTGAATATGGGACAAGGCCGGTTTAATGTGGGTATCCCCCGAGCTCGTAGGCTCGGCCAAAATATAGCCTTTGAACCAGCCTAGACGGGTTCAGGCCCTGTCTACCTCCCCGGACGAAACCTTGCCCTTCGGCAAGGGCTTCGTCTGGGTTCCTCTCTGCTAACGCAGAGAGTTCGACAGACGTCGCTTACAGTCAAAGACTGTATCACGACTCAGCTAGACTCGGAGGTCTTACCCTCTCTATCTATCAACCCACCCACGAGGATTGAATATGGGACAAGGCCGGTTTAATGTGGGTATCCCCGAGCCCGTAGGCTCGGCCAAAAATATAGCCTTTGAACCAGCCTAGACGGGTTCAGGCCCTGTCTACCTCACCGGACGAAACCTTGCCCTTCGGCAAAGCTTCATCCGGGTTCCTCTCTGCTAACACAGAGAGTTCGACAGACGTCGCTTACAGTCAAAGACTGTATCACGACGCAGCTAGACTCGACGGTCTTGCTCTCTCTGGTCTTCACGTAGCAGTAGTAGATGTATATACTGGGTGAGTCCATTTGTGTAAAAAGGGGAGAACCCCTCAACAACAATAACAATAATAATAATCTGAGACAGAAAACCTAATTATTGCAGGTCAGGACGAAAGCCTCGCAATCAGATCCTATCACTGCCATATAAATCAAGGATGCAACTAACCGGAAATACAGAATCTGTTGAAGGAATGATGAAACTGTCGACCATATTATGTCAGGATGTCCGGAACAAGCAAAAAAATGAATATACCCACAGACATAACAAAGTAGCGACATATGCGCACTGGAAGATATGCAAGAAGCACTAAATCGAAACCACTGAGAGATGGTATGACCACCAAGCAGGCACAGTAAACCCCCGCAAAAAAAAAAGAAAGAAAAAAAACGAAAAAAAAAACGATGTAACTATCCTCTGGGACATGCCAGTTCAAACTGACAGGGAAATAAAAGCCAACAGACCTGATATTACCATTAACGAAAAGAAATTCAGGAAGTCTATGCTTATTAGCATAGTAGTACCATCTAAGAGGAAATTACTGAGAAATTGTCCAAATAAAACGATCGAGATTAACAGGATGTGGGAAATGAAGATTGAGACTGTATCAATAGTAATCGGAGCCCTGGGTTTTGGGAGAAAAGGAAAACAATTTTACTAATAGTGTCCCAGGTAATTTCAACATAGAGACTGCCCAGAAAAACGTCCTACAAGGAACATTCCATATACTAAGAAAAATGCTATCAATTAAATGGCAATTCTCCTATAGGGCCTAAGGACCATAGTTTAGACCCGACTCTACAGGATACGAAGCAGGAAACATTTCATATACAAATAATAATAATAATAATAATAACTTTCTGCTGCTGACTAGTTGCCATCCAAGTTTATATAACCCGGTCTGCCCCGCTATTTACCCATATCTGGAGGGGAAGAAGAGGATTCATACCTTTCCCAAGGGTATTAGCACGTAAGTGAATGTAGTCAAAGACCATGAAAGTAGTAAGCCTCTTTATCCCGTGACAAAGGAAGCCAACAAGTTCAAAATGGAGTTTCAATTGGGTTCAGAATTAAAAGTAAAGCACAATACACCGACTGAAGCTGCAAAATATTTAAAAAAGAAAGCAAAAGCAAATGCAACCGACCAGATACAGAAGCGATGGCAAGATAAACCGCTTCATGGCCAATACTCTGCCCGTACCAAACAAGCTGATGTTGACAAAACCCGTACCCATC